TTTTTCCTCAGAAGCAATTAACACCGCCACGCGAGATGTAGTAATTATTCCCTCTGTTTTCTTCAAAGACGAGTTTTCGCTCATTTATATTTGCCGCTTCCTAATAAATAATCACAGAGAAACAATATCCTCTTGGACGCGGGGACTTAGATATTAGGTTAGGTTAGGTTAAGTTGGTAAAGTTAGATATTAGGTTAGCTTAGGTTAAGTCAGGTTAGGTTAGCTTAGGTTAAGTCAGGTTAGGTTAAGGTTAGATTTTAGGTTAGCTTAGGTTAGGTCAGGTTAGGTTAGGTTGGTTAAGGTTAACTTAGGTGAGATTGTTGCAAACTATGGATCTTGATATTGATACGGCTGTATTTATTTACAAGAAAATACATTGCCTTTTGTAAAGCCAAACCATAAAGTTGGTGCACGTTAATATACTCATGTCAGTAAAGTGGATGACTACCATTTAGTTAATACTGATTGTGTGACTTGCTGGAAACATTATGTCTGTTTGTTGGTGTCTTTGCAACAATGTACCACTTAATCACCACCATATGTATTTTCACAACCCATTGTACCACACACACATAGATAGATAGATAAATAGATAGATAGATAGATAGATAGATAGATAGATAGATAGATAGATAGATAGATAGATAGATAGATAGATAGATAGATAGATAGATAGATAGATAGATAGATAGATAGATAGATAGATAGATAGATAGATAGATAGATAGATAGACAGATAGATAGATATAAATAAGTTACGTAGAGTCTGGCAAAACCGTTAACATGGTAGTAGGGGACCCCATACCCATCCTGTAAGCAGTAGTCAACTGCATACCAATTCTATGAGCTGTGAGGGACCCCATACCCATCCTGTAAGCAGTAGTCACCCCCATACCCATTCTATGAGCTGTGAGGGACCCCATACCCATCCTGTAAGGAGTAGTCAACCCCCATACCCATTCTATGAGCTGTGAGGGACCCTATACCCATCCTGTAAGCAGTAGTCGGCCCCCATAACAATTCTATGAGCTGTGAGGGACCCCATACCCATCCTGTAAGGAGTAGTCAACTCCATACCCATTCTATGAGCTGTGAGGGACCCCATACTCACCCTGTGAGTAGCAGGGGACCCCATACTCATCCCGTGAGCGGCAATGGAAAAAGGCTACTCATAATGGGTTCAGGACCCGCCTCCCCAAAACTGGATTTAACTAAGCAAATTACAGCACTGAGGAGCTAGTTACATAATTGCTTAACATATAAATGCTTTAGCACTATATTTTAGCGTCAAGCCGTGATTTCAAGAAGCCATAACACAGGGAGAGTTTGTTAGTTAAGCTAGCTACGCACAATCACGATATGCTTATCATGCATAAATTGCACGATAAGGGAGTTGGTCCCAGGGGGGTGGGAAGGCGTGGTCCCAGCGGGTTCAACGGGTAAGAGATTCGTGGAACAATGAGCTCATGCATAAGGGAAACAAACCATGAAGATAAATGGTAAATTAATTTAGGTGTAAACAAGTTTGTTTGGGGCCTTGACAGCGCCCTTGTTTGGTTTATTGCGTGGCCGAGTGGCTCTCCCCCGAGCCGGCCGGTGTCACAGCCCCTGGCGTCAGCTGCAGGGCTGCCCGACACCGTCATAGCAGCGCCAACATCACTTCACAATACAAGGGAAACCGAGTTTTGTGCTTGGCTGTGCGACGCTGCCGGCCCAAGGCCACTAGGGCAGCCTCGTCGCGGCTCGTGCCAATATTACCTTTCAGTCGTATTACTTACGTATCGTTTTATATGGAATCGGACACCTGTGTCAGAGATAGTATGTTTCTGATGTAGATCTTTGTATGGGTGTTTGCTATCTCTATCTCTCTCTGTCGCTCTCGCTCTCTCGCTCTCGCTCTCTCGCTCTCTCTCTCTCGCTCTCGCTCTCTCGCTTTCGCTCTCTCGCTCTCGCTCTCGCTCCTCGCGCTCTCGCTCTCTCGCTCTCTCGCGCTCTCTCGCGCTCCTTTCTCGCTCTCTTGCGCTCTCTCTCTCTCGCTCTCGCGCTCTCGCTCTCGCGCTCGCTCTCTCTCTCTCGCTCTCTTCTCTCTCTCTCTCTCTCTCCTCTTCTCTCTCTCTCTCTCTCGCTCATCTCTCTCTCTCTCTCTCTCTCTCGCTCTCTCGCTCTCTCGCTCTCTCCTCTCTCTCTCTCTCTCTCGCTCTCTCTCTGCTCTCGCTCTCTCTCCTCTCTCTCTCTCTCTCTCTCTCTCTCTCTCTCTCTCTCTCTCTCTCTCTCTCTCTCTCTCTCTCTCCCGATCGTCTCTCTCTCCTCTCGCTCTCTCTCTCTCTCTCTCTCTCTCTCTCTCTCTCTCTCTCTCTCTCTCTCTCTCTCTCTCTCTCTCTCTCTCTCTCTCTCTCTCTCTCTCTCTCTCTCTCAAAGAAAGCGACAGACAATCTGATGAGAGCACCCATTAAGAACAGATAGTAACCTTGGAGCAAGAGACCTTCACCTGGTGAAGGTGTATGTCATGTGGCTGAGGTACGCCAGGAATATTGAATGAAGAATGTGAGGGCTGGCGTCTGATGCTGCTTAC